ATTAAGTAATAGTATAATAAAAAATTATATAGAAAAGGGGATGAGTATGGAGAGTAGTTGTGGGGTTTTCCTGGGACATTAGGTCTGGAACACCCCCATGTATATTCACATGCGGTGGTAGGTCGCAGTTTAAATACAAGTCTGTAATTTAGATCGAGTTAGTTCCATTTTGTTATAATATGTAAAAAATATATATGTATATATATTGAAAATCATTAACAGACCTCACTTAACAAAAAAAAAAAAATATACATGTATACTTCTACATAGTTCTTCTTTAGGTTAGTGGTACTATCTCCTACTGTCTAAACATCTCCCAAATTAGATGATGGATTTTCAATAGAAAATCTACCTGCATTATTATAATATGTTTTATTGTCACGTGAAATACTATTGATGATCTTTTTAATTTCAAATATGGAAATTACTTTTGTTTTTTTTTTAACAAGTTGATTTATAAAAATGGCATTTTCCGGAGCTGTAATTTTAAAAGATCTAAACGATTTTATTGCACCTTCCCAAGCTTGCATAAAACCCGTAGAGATTAACAAAACCTCTGAATCAAATTCAGTAAGTTATAATAAATAACTATTTGTCTAATTAGTTTTATTATTATATCCTTATTCTTAAGCAATCAAATTATCATCTTGATAGAACGTTATAAAAATTGATGGTTCAGGCGAGTATTATGAAGTTTCGCAGGAAGGACTTGAAACTAAACTTAAAACAGCAAGCATAACATTAGACGATTGTTTAGCTTGCAGGTAATTGAATATTTTCATTTTTTTATTTCAAAAGGATCTGTTGATTAATAGTCACTTTTTTCCACCTCAAACAAAAAATAAAAAAATTAGTGGATGCATTACTTCGGCTGAAAGTATCCTTATAACAATGCAATCTCAAGAAGAATTATATAATGTATTTAAAGCAAATAAACAAGCTATGGATGAAAATAAATTAGAAAATTATAAGACTATAGTGGTTTCTATTGCACCACAATCAAGAGCTTCTATAGCAGCAAAATATGGTCTAACACCATTACAGGTACCTTTAAATTTCATTCAATTATAGTAGAATTAGGTAGTTGTTGACTTTTTGTTTTTGCTGATAAATGGCAGATTCACTGATCAAAAAATGGATAAAAAATATGCATTAAGGTGGCTAAACGTTTAACGCACTTTTTCAAGTCACTTGGAGTTCATTATGTATTCGATGTTTCGTTCTCACGAGATTTTTCTTTGTTGGAAAGTGCACGTGAATTTGTTCAAAGATTTCGTGACTCTCAACAAGAAAATCAATCATATGATAATAACAACAAAGAAGGATCGGCTGGGACAAGATATGGAAATCATAATAATAATAACCATTCGCAGCAACAAAAATACATGCCTATGTTGGCTTCAGCATGTCCAGGTTGGATTTGTTATGCTGAAAAAACTCATGGGTTTGTTTTACCATATGTTAGTCAAACTAAATCACCACAACAAATAATGGGTGTCTTGGTTAAAGATTACCTGGCAAATAAGCTTGGAATCAGGTAAATTTTAAACATTATTGTTGATAGAAAGGAATCTTTTCATTATAATTGATTAATTAATTTGGATTTAAATTTGAAATTTATATATACATATAGACCAAATAATATTTATCATGTTGATGTAATGATGTGTTACGATAAAAAACTTGAGGCATCAAGACCAGATTTTTTTGATGAAAATTATCAAACCAGAGATGTTGATTGTGTAATCACAACAGGAGAAGTCGTCAAAATGTTTGAAGAACAAAATTTCAATATTTCGGAAAGTCCTGAGGCATCATTAGATTCTTTTAGTAAATTATCAGAAGACAATGAACAACTTTTAAGTTCTGGTGGGTCATCATCAGGCGGATATTTAGAATTTATTATGAAATATGCGGCCAGAGAATTATTTGATATAACAGGCATAGATCCAGACAAAGAACAAGGTGTTGTGGTTAAATATGGCAGAAATAAAGATTTCAAAGAAGTGACACTCGAGGTACATAAATTTAGATGAGTGAATTAAATCATCTAGTAGTTTAACTAATTTAATAATTTTTTTAATCCAGGTTGAAGGAAAGCCATTACTTAAATTTGCATCAGCATATGGATTTCGTAATATACAAAATCTTGTTCGTAAGGTTAAAACTGGTAATTCACCATATCACTATATAGAAGTTATGGCTTGTCCATCTGGATGTATAAATGGTGGTGGACAACTGAAACCGGGTGAAACAATTCCAATAAAAGATTGGATTAACAGTGTCAATAATATTTATCATGCAATAGCATCAAAATCACCAGAAGAAAATGATAAAATATTAGAATTATACAGGTTATTTTTATATAGTAAAGTTCATAATAATATTATCAATAATAATAATTTCTAATAACAATATTATTATTATTTATTAGTGAATGGTTGGAAGGATTCGACAGTTTGAAAAGTAGAAAAATGCTTCGTACACAATATCATGCAGTAGAAAATACGTTATTAAATCCCTTGACTGTCAAATGGTAAAAAAATTGTTATGCAAATGACAACATATATATAAATTATTTATTTTTGGTTTTGCTATTTAAATTACTGCTTTACTGTTTGTATTGTGCTTTACTAAATAATTGAATGAAAGTTTCCTTCTTCATAATTTATTTCTTGTCTTCTTGTCTGAATAAGTTGTCACGTGATTTAGAATATTCCACCTATAGAATTCGAAAAGTGTGGCATTGATGGTTTTTTTTTTTTGTGAAATATATATAAGTAGAATAAATGATATTACCGATATTTATATTTAAAAAAAAAAACTATTTTGATCTTTTCCATCGAGATAGATAAATAGCGCTTACTTTTTTTTTTACTTACTCATTTATTTGAATTTTTTCTTTAAAATTAAAAAATATTTTTATTGCTTTAAAAGAATCAATTAAATAATTTGTAATAATAAATAATTATTAACGAGCCAAAAAAAAAATGACTGAAAATAATAACGCTAAAGGAGAAGTTAAAATCATCAATACTACTGATAATGAAAACAACACTGATAACATTGAAATCAATAAAAACAACAATGACAGCAAAATCAATGATAATGATAATGATAAAATTAATAACAATGAAAACGATAATAATAAAGCAGCAGGTACTTTGCCTGAATTTGAAGATAATGAGAATATTTTACAGGAAGGTGAACTACGAACTGTTTTCAATGATCCAGTAAACTTTAATGTCAAACATCCTTTATATAATGCATGGACATTATGGTTTGATAATCCGGGGAAAAAAGCCAACACAGTAAGTTGGTCGCAACATCTGAAGGAATTAATAACATTTGATTCAGTAGAAGAATTTTGGGGGTAAATTCCATTTTGTCTATTTTATTTTATAAAATATAAATAATTTTACAAATATATCATTTTATTAATATATATATATATATTTAGAGTGTACAATAATATTTACAAAGCTAGTGAATTATCTACCAATTCAAATTATCATCTTTTTAAACATGGAATAAAACCGATGTGGGAAGATCCAGAAAATGAAAGAGGTGGAAAATGGGTAATCCAATTTCATAAAAATAAAATTGGTGATGATATTAATAAACTTTGGCTTCATACGGTTAGTTATTTTTACTATTGTTATCATAATTATAATTATTATTATGCGATGATGATGATGATTGATTTTATTATTATTAATCCAGATATAATTTTTATATATATGTGTATATTATATTATATTTGTGTGTTTGTATGTGAATAAAAAGACCAGAATTTTGGAAAGAACAATTAGAGAATGTTTTAAAAAGTATCTATTATTGTTATATTGAGTGAAGAGATTCAAATAAATCATAAAAAAAAAAAATCTTTTTTCGTCATCATCATCATCGTATAATGTCCTTTGTGAACATATAATTTAATTAACATCATTATCATTCTGATTTTTATTATTAGATGCTTGCTTGTATTGGTGAAAGTTTCGAATATTCTGATGAAGTTTGTGGGGTTGTTTTTTCTGTTCGTAAAATTCTCTATAGAATATCTTTATGGACACGAACATCTAATAATAAAGCAGTCTGTGAATCAATTGGGTATGTAAATAATCGTATTTTATATTTATATATATTCAATAATTATCTATTAATTATTAATTATCATTAATTATAATTTTTAGACGACAGTTAAGGGCAACTTTAGAATTGAATTCAGGACTTCAACCTGAATTTCAACCACATTCAGAATCAATTAAAAGTGGTGCTCCTCGAGGTAAAGATTAGAAAAAATAAAAAATAACGAGAGTATTAGTGAGCATGTGCGCGTGACAAGGATTCAAAAAGAAGTAATAACGCTAATAATAATAATAATAATAATAATAACAATAATAATAATAATAATAATAATAATAATAGTAATAATAATAATAACAATAATAATAATAATAAGATATCAAATATCAATTAAAAGAAGAAGGTTGGTTGATTGAATCAAATGAATGAGTTATTGAATGATTTCAAAATAGATATATATCGCTTAATATATTAACTTTTTTTTGGTGGGGTCATTAATATTTTTTAAAAAATATATAATTATTAAATTAAAATTAGATATATCATTAATATCATCTTATACAACATATATTTTATATTTAAATAAATAAATATATATAAATGTAAACTTAGCTTTGTTTTTATTTTATTTTTATATAATTATACAAATTAAAATTCTTAAAAAATTTAAAAACAAATAAAAAATATTTATTAACTCTATTACTAAACATAGCACAAGAAATTTATTATTTTTCGTGCAACAGCGAAATGTTAAATTTTTATTTTTACTATTTAAAAAGCTTCGAATTTTTTAAAAAGTAGATTAGCCCTACATTATATAAATATTTAACGGTTTATAAAAGTCGACAATTATGAGTGAGTCTTCTTCATATACTGAAATTAATAGCAACAATAACAATTCAACTGGCTCAACAGATTCCAACAATTCATGTTCATCAAGAACTTCAAATAAAGTATGTAATGAATGTTCAGAACCATACGAATCATTACCGTGGTGTTACAAGTGTGATTTACCAAAATATAGTGATAATGAATATGGAAGTTGTAATCCAGAAGTAGATCGATTGATTGAAGAAGCTCAGGAGAAACTGAGAGAAAAGGATTCTTCTTATTTTTTTGAATGGATACCATTTAATAAATTTAAGGAATTTCGAAAGATTGGCGAAGGTGGATTTGGTAGTGTGTTCAGGGCTACTTTTACTGATAGAAGCGTTACAGACACGGCACGTATAGTTGCATTGAAATGTATAAAAACATCAACAACAAAAGGGTCTTGTGCAGATTTTTTGGAGGAGGTAAGATAACCTGATAAAAATATATATACGTGTGTATATATATACATATATAATATGTATTACGTACATTCACTATTTCTATTTATTCATATAGCTATTTAATAATTTTTATTTATTTAATGAATATTGATAATAATTATTATAATAATCATAATAATTTATCAAAAAATTATATATTTTAAAAGGTTAGGATTCATGTTTTATGTTCCTTGGAGTTTGATACATTTCTTAAGATTTATGGAATGACCAAAAATCCAAAAACATTAGAGTATATGATGGTGACGGCGTATGCCAACAGGGGAAATCTGCGAGATTATCTGGAATGTAATTTTAAAAGACTTAAATGGACAGAAAAATTAAATTACTTGGCAAATATAGCCACAGATCTTGACACATTACATACTAAAGAATTCGTACATAAGGATTTACATACAGGAAATATTTTACAACATTCACCAAGCAATGGGGAAAAAATAATTAGTTATCTGACAGATTTTGGATTAACAAAATCATACAAAGATAAAACTAGTCCAGACACCAAGATTTATGGGATACTGCCATACGTTGCACCAGAAATTTTACTTGGCAAGAAATATACAAAAGAATCGGACATTTACAGCTTTGGCATAATAATGGCAGAAGTATCATCAGGAAAAAGGCCTTTTGGTAACAAACCACATGATTCACAGATGACACTTGAAATTGTAAATGGATCACGACCTGATTTTGGTAATGGAACGCCTCAATGTTATAAAGATTTAGCAGAATGTTGTTTAGACAAGTCCCCCAAAAAAAGACCAACAGCAAAACAATTATCAATGCATCTTTATAAGTGGTCTTGGAGTATATCTGATAATCCAATTAGTGATATAGGTCGAGATTTTCTGGCATCTGATGAATATATTGCGAATTCTGGCCCCTCAAAAGGCAAGTTACATCCAGAAGCAATTTATGTCAGCAGGTTTATAAAATTTCCAAAGATTGAAAATGATGACAATGACATATCAGATAGTGATGATGATGGTGATTCAACTAGAGGTTTCTTTAAAGATTAATTAATTATTCTATGATTTTAATTTAAATATAATATATAATACACATAACATTTATAATCGGTATTTTTACTATAGATTCAAAAATAGTAAATCTGAGAGTGTCCAATATTATAAAAGGTGATATTTTATAATAATTATTATTATGACTATTATTTATTATTAATCAATTGATAATAATTATTAATTGATTAATAATTGTTTTTATTAAGAATCTCAATCAATCCAAATACCAAAAGCAAATGGTAAATTATAGATATAGTAATGTTATATTATTCAATATCACGAAATAAAATATTATTAATTATATGGTTTTTCAATTATAAGAGGAATCTTTTGAAGAATTATCTAACTCCCCAGAATCTTTAAAATCTCCAAGGTCTCCAGGATTGCAAGGATTTGGTAATCAAGTTATTATTTTAGTTGTTAACATAAAATGTATCATTTTTTTTTAATTTAATTAATTTATTATTTAATTAATTTAGACAGTACCATAATAAATTTTACAATACCAAACATTTGTAATTATTGTTATTATTGTTTGTTAATTTTTTTGTTTGACTAAAAAAAATTAATACAATTAAATAGACAACATGACAATTTATTATTATTATTTTATATATTAAGATTCAGAGCTATTTGAAACTACAGAAGAAACATTGGTTGAATCAGGTAAAATATTTGAATATATCAATTGTTATCAATTTATATTATTTTAATTAATTTTAGATTCAAAACAACTTGTGCTTACATTATCGAAAGCAATTCCAAAATTTTCATCAAACCAATTAAGAACTGTTATTGGTATAAGTTTAATTTAATCGATTTTAATTGATGAATGAATAAAGGAAACAAAAGACAATTGATAAATTCAAAAAAAATTTTTTTTTATAGAAACTGAAGAAAATTCACAAATTGATTCACAAGAAGGTAATTAGTGATATCATTCCTATTTTAACTAATACTGTAAAAATATTTATTATAGTTAATATTTATTGTCTAATATAACTAGGTCTTACATTATCATCAGTACTCAATGGATTATGTAAGTATTATTATCATTTGTTATTGTCATTATAGCATCATCATTAGCACAATAAACTATATATTTTTATTGTATTAGCTCTAGAAGATAAAGAAAAATACAAAATAAATGATGAAGAAGGTAATTAATTATATATAAAATATAAAATTCATCAAGATATTTTATTAATTGAAACTATATATTTTTATTGTATTAGCTCTAGAAGATAAAGAAAAATATAAAATAAATGACGAAGGTAATTAATTATATATAAAATATAAAATTCATCAAGATATTTTATTAATTGAAATATGTTATTAGTTTCATTAGCAGCAATCTCTAGAAGTTTGGATTCAAAACAATTGGATCTTTGTATATTAAGTAATTTTTGTTAAATTAATAAATTAAGTTATTTCATTTAAACTTAAAGAAAAATCTTACAAGTCGTCTTTTTAATTCGAAAAGGTGATGATGATGATGATGATGATGATGATGATGATGATAAAATTCAAAAATTTTTGAGCATAGAAGCATGTTTAAATGGTGATGATATTACCGAATCACATCAGAGCAGTGATGTTCCTGGAGAGGCTGATAAAGATTTGGAATAATAATAATTGAATCAGAATAATCAATTTTTTTAATAAATAATTAGTTATATGCAGTTTTTACATTATTACTTGTATTTATATAAGAAATTGAACATTTAGTAGAAAAGATAGAAAAAACTTTTTTTATTCTAATTATAATAATTAATTGAAAATCAATCAATAAAACCATTAAATATTAAAAAATATACTGCTTCTACTTTAAATTGCCAGTACAGGGTTGGTCATATAAACTTAATACATAGGTAAACTCGATAAGTCGATCTCTTGATAAATCGGATTTAGCTTAACTCGGAAAATCTATATAAAATTGCGACAAGTTGCAAGTCGGTCAACCCTTCTTCTAGAGTATATGTAAATCTCTCGATAAGTCGGTCTCACGTGATATTTGCATTGGGGTTAAAGGTCATCATTATTATTTTTAGTAACGTGTGATATTATTTTACGTAAAATTAAATATCTGTTACTATTATTATTATTATTATGTAATGTTAGTATTTAAATTATGTTTTATTAATAAAACATAAATAATAATAATTTTTTTTGGAAAGAAGGAGTCAGTATATGGATTAATTCAATTATTATTATTGGCAAAATCTTATTAACTCAATCTAATAATTTATTTCACTAATATTTATATTAATATCATTATCTATGCCGATAGTAATAGATTTTGTCTTATATTTAAATATATATTTATTATTTATTACTTATAACAATTCCAACATAAAAATTATTTGATAGTTTACTTAA